CATCGCCCAAGTCCCCCGCCTGACACACATGATCGGCATGCTAGTTCTGTCCGGGCACCCTCTAGACGTGCCAACAACCAACGCCATCGACACCGCGCTAACCAAAGTCGAAAACCCAGCTCTATCCGAGCGCTGGCTAGCCTTCAAATTCGGCCCTCCAGCCACCAGCCCCGTATCCTTCTCCCCCGTCCCCACCGTCGAAGACTCCTTCGACCCCTACGCCGCCACAACCGACAACAAAGGCTCCGTCGCCATCACCGAGCTCCTCGAAAAGCCCCACGGTCGTCCCGGGAGCCACCTTAACGACGCGCTGCAGCGGTATAACGCCATGCGCCGCGCCGGCCGGCACCCGCGCTTCTTCACCTACGCGCGGCTTATTACGGCTGCGGCGAAGGATAACCGCCTGCAGCTCATCGACGAGATCATGCAGCATGCGCGCAATGACGTGCCCCTCCAGCCGCAGTTCCGCATCGTGCGCTTCGGCTGGGTCCAGCTCCTCGACGCCATGGTCGCAGCCTGTCTCACCACCGGGCAGCGCGACATGGCCGCGCGGTACCACGCCGAGCTCCGCACCCTCGGCGCCGCGCCCAGCGCGAATACCTTCGGGCTGTACATCACAACGCTCGGGTCTGCGGGGGCCGTGCACGACGAGGCGCGCGAAGCGGCCGCCATCTTCGCGCAGGCGCAGGCCGAGGGCGTCGAGCCCAGCAGTTTTTTGTACAACGCGCTAATCGGGAAACTGGGCAAGGCGCGGCGGATCGACGAGTGCCTGATGCACTTTACGGCGATGCGCCAGCGTGGGATTAGGCCGACGAGTGTGACGTATGGGACGGTGGTTAATGCGTTGTGTCGGGTGAGTGATGAGGCGCTGGCCGAAGAGCTGTTTGCGGAGATGGAGGCGATGCCGAATTATAAGCCGCGGCCAGCGCCCTATCATTCTTTGATGCAGTTTTTCCTCGCTCAGCATGATCGCGGGAAGGTCCTGGGGTATTACGAGAAGATGAGGAAGAGGGGGATTGCGCCGACACCGCATACGTACAAGCTGCTCATCGATACGCATGCCTCCCTCGATCCGCCGGACTTTGTGGCGGCGGAAAAGGTCCTGTCGGATATGAAGGCCGAGGGCGCGGTTCCGGAGGCCGTGCACTACGCCGCGCTGGTGCACGCACGTGGCTGCGTCGCCCGCGATTTACCCGGCGCCCGCGTGCTCTTCGACAGCGTACTAGCCGACCCCACCGTCCGACCCGCGGCCTGCCTCTTCCAAGCGATAATCGAGTCCTGCGTAGCCAACGCCAGCGTATCCTCAACACCACCCATCCTCGCAACGATGCATGCCCGGGGCGTGCAGCTCACGGCGTACATCGCCAACGCGCTGATCCACGGGTGGGCGCTTGCGGGGAAATTGGAAGAAGCGGAGCGGGTGTGGGGGATGTTGGAGGGGAGGCGCGAGCCGAGTACGTATGAGGCTATGGTGAGGGCGTATACGGGGGCGGGAAGGAGGGGGGAGGCGTGGGGGGTTGTGAGGGAGGCGATGGGGAGGGGGTATCCGGCGGCTGTGGTGGGGAGGATTGTGGAGGTTGTTGGTGGGACGGGGGGGCAGGTTTAGAGGGGGGGGGAAGGATAGGTGCGGATGGGTATGAATGGCGTTTTTTTGCTTGCAGCACGGCGTTGGGTGGGATGTGTATATACCCTGGGCGAGATTTGCTATGGGTATGGTATGGTAATGGGTGGGTTTGGACGGCGGATGGGATGGGAAGGGATATCTCCACTCTAGATTTTGGGCTTGCATAGCTGGGATACAGCGGCCTGAGACCAATCCATGCGGTTGGAATTACTGCGATTACTGCGATTTGGCTTCTGTGACTGACGGGTTGATGGGAGCAAAGCTCGTACGCAGGCAACGGCAACCGGGTAAACTGAAGATTGAAGATTGAAGACAGAGAGGAAGAGAGGAAGAGACTCTCGAGACTTAAATACACGATGCCAAGTACCCTCCTTTACGCCTTCCTTCTATAATGTTCACATTACATCATACGCTCCTTGCTGACATAACAATGCTCCTTCCCTACCCACATCACTGCCAAGCTCAATGCTCAATACCACTATCCATATCACATGATCATCATGTGAGCACGCACTCGAAGCGCGTCGCGCACCACGACTCCCACTCAACCCTCCGCACCTCTCCATCCCCACCCCCACTCGAACCGCAACGCAAATCACCACATACCCTCACCATCTGCGCAAGCCCACAAAGCACTCACGACGCGCTCTGTTACGGCCCACACACAATGCCCCCCTCAATCCCTGACTCCGAAGACGAAGCCCTCGACTTCGCGTCTTCGCAACTCGAACAAATCACACTTGTGGGGCCCGCGCCCGTGGAAACTGCAGCGGTCGTTCGCACCGCGAGCGCAAACCCCCAATCCTCAACCTCACCCGCGATGAAGAAACGCACCCCGCCCAAGCGCGCGCGTACATACGCCGGCAGCCGCACGCGGTTAGCGGACGAGGAGCACACGCTCGAGACCCACCTTGCCGTCGAAGGCAGCTCGGGCGATACAATTCCCAACACAGCGCCGCGCTCAGGCTCGCACCCCGAATCTGCCTCCGCACAACCCTGGGCCTTGCCCCCCTCCCTCCTCGCCGAATTCGAAACGCACGAGCCGGCCATGTGGCCGGAGCCGGAGCCCGAGCTGGAGAGTACAGTGCCGAACGGGTCTGGCGAGGAGCGCGCTATGCTCGGGGCGGCGCTGCAGGCGGACCTCCTTGCTGCGGCCGCGGTTGTGGGTTCGGTCCCACAGCCAGAGGAGAAGAGTTCTGCGTCCGATGTTCCGTTTAGCCAGTTTGTGCAGAGTCAATATGTGCAGACGCCGCTTGTAAGTCTTTCGTATCCCACTTATCCCGCTCGCGACGCCGCTGACCAATAGCGCCCCGGCCAAGCGCCCATCGTGCCAATTGACCTCCTCATGCCGACAGGGAGTGTGAGCGCGCTGCATACGAGCTCGGGCTCGGAGAAGCGCTCGGACGGCAAGCCTAGCTCTCCAATCAAGGTCTCTGGCTCTGGCAACGTTGCCTGGCCGACGAGTGAGCTGCGTGCGCCTGTTGCGGATTTGTCAGAGGATGAACTTTTGCGCGAGGGGCTGAGTGGGGATGGGGGTTACGGGCCTGCGAACCGGGATGGAGATGCGGCTAAGGCGCCGACGCCGGTGTTCGCTACCACTGCGGAACCTGAACTGGCGAAGAAGAAGCGTCGCAAGCGCACTGCCGAGCCGACCAGTGATGATCTTGCGCTGGGGATTACGCCGGATTTGCCGCGGGAGGTTTATAAGCCGAGGCCGTCGCGCAGCCGCTCCGAGCGGGTTGAGTGGGTGGATACGAATTATGCGAAGGTGCCTGAGAAGGTGATAAGGGCGCAGAGGAGGGCGAAGACGGAGGTGCCGAAACCAGCCAAAGCAGAGACTTCAAAGCAGGAGGGGGATGAGGATGCACTTGCTGCGATTGTGGCGATGGGTTTCCCTGATGCTGAGGCGCGTACTGCGTTGAAGCGGAATGGGGGCGATATGCAGCGTGCTGTGGAGTGGCTTGTGGGCCGGCCGCAGGGGAGGAAGAGAGGGAAGGGCGTGGATGAGGGTGTGGAGACGGGGAGTGAGCGCGACACTATTGCGGTCAGGAACGATACTAAGCGGAGAAAGACCGCGGACAAGGCTATTGCGAAGGCAGCGGAGGTTCAGCCGGCCAACCCGCCCTCGACGGATTCGCCCCCAACCGTCATCACCATCACCGTCAAAAAGGGCGGCAGGCGCAAGTCAACCACTGACAAGCCCGCCCCAAAAGAACCGGAACCAGAACCAGCCCCGCCCTCAACCGCCTCACCCTCACCGACCTCCCCGCCCGCTCCCGCTCCCTCGCCAGAACCCATGCCCCCCCCCCAACAGTGCAAACGCAACGCCGCCGCGCTCGTCAGCGTCGAAATACCAACCAAGCCAGGCAGCGAATCTGGGACCGCGGTTGACTCGCCGGAGAAGACGCGCGAGGGAAAGAGGCGCAAGACGGATGAGTTTGTCGAGAAGGACTTGAGCCCCGTGTCGCCGATCAATGTGGAGACGGGGGGGCAGGCTGACTTGCCCTCTGCTCCTGCGCCTGTGGAGAAGAAGCGCCGTGGGAGGCCGAGGAAGGTCACTGCGCCTGCTGTCCCCGCTGAGGAGCCGGAGGATATGATGGATGGTGTGCTCGGGGCGCGGGATGGGAATGTGAACGCCGGTACGAGTACAGGGGCTAGGGAAGAGGAGCCGCCGAAGCATGCGCCTAGGAGGGGGAAACCGCTTTCGAAGCTTACGTTGGCGGATACGGAGGATGATGAGGAGCCTGAGCCGCCTGCTGCACCGGCCGAGAACAAGGCTGAAGAGAAGGGGGTTAGTGTCCTGGCTAGCACGCCTTCGAAGGGCGCAGCTCGTCCCTCGAAGCTGCCGCATTCACCTCTGCCGAAGGGGAAGCCGCAGTATCGGGTGGGCTTGAGTCGGACGGCGAAGGTTGCGCCGTTGTTGAAGAAGATTGGGCGCTAGGGGGGGCAGTTTGCGGGTTATGGGGCATGGGGCGTGGGCGTTTGAGGCTAGGGGTGGGGATTTGTTGTGTTATGATATGGTTGAGATGGATGGTGGGATGGGATTCACGATGAGAGTAATGAATGAGTTTTACTCTGCCGAACGTATCTTGCTTGTAGGAGCTGGGTGAATGCTTTGTGGCTGCGGGCCGCTGATGGGGTATAGGCTTGACGCGTAAAATGGCCACGGTGGAAAGTGAAGAGGTCGATAAAAAACGAAAAGATCAAAAGAAAGAGACCCTCGAGTCCAATCACACAATGCAAGGTACTATCCCACGCTCCTTCACTCCATCATACACACATCCCATCCCATCCCTTCCCAAAAGTGGCATGCTCCTTCCATCATCAATTCTCTCACCTCATATACACCCCATTTGCCCTTGCCTCCCATCAACCAGTCTTGATGGTGTAGTCGGTTATCACGTCGGTCTCATACGAATGTATGATCAGTCCCCAGGACTGAGCGATCCGAAGGCCGCGAGTTCGATTCTCGCTCGAGACAGGCTTTTTTGGCTGTTTTGACGGTGGTGAAGCTGAGAGGCTGTGCCTTTGGTCCGGTTGCCGGGTTTGTGCGGAAGGCTCGGGGCTAAGGTGCGTTAGTTATGTTCCCGGCTGCTTGCCGAGCGGCTGGTGCTTACCGAAGGGCATAAGACGGTCCGATGGGCGGGCGTGCTGATCGGAAAGGTCATGTCGTCCCCCCCGAGCAGAAGATTGTTCATGCTCGTAGCTAAGGCTCCGGGGGAGGGTGAAAGACACTAAGTGGAGGGAGACACTGGCATTTCACCTCAATAGATTGAAAGAGACTACGTAAGCTTATGGTACGTCACGCTGAACGCGTCCTACTCCAGGAACGCACATGATCAACGTTGGTGTATGGCCGTAGTATGAGCCCAGAATTCCTTGCCGAATGCCACGGTTAGAGTGAGGTGCTCAATCTTCCAATCATAGGGAGCAGGATTGGTGGCCTCCTTTTGTTGATGTTCGAGCTCGGTTAAAATGTCGGACAGCAATGTGACGACTTCCTCGACTTCCAGCTTGAAGTCGGATAGGCGGTGGCCTAGGAGGAGGAGCTTGTGGCAGAGGAGCGATCCTAGGGTGTCGAAACATGAGTTAAAGACGGTGTAGAAATCATTTGAAGGAGCTTTGATGACATGGAGATTGTGGTGGGGGGATCGTTGTGGCGAAGATCTGATAGATTGGAAGTGTGGTGAGGCAACGGAGGTCTTGAGGGTCAGCTGCGGGGTTTCGGTCGGGGCTTTGTTTCTAAGAACTCAGGTTGGCAAGGGCCTGCAGATGATTGTTAGTTCCTTACTAAGCTTCGGGGGCGGGTGATGGACTTTATCGACTAAGCGGATCTCCGAAGTTGAGAAGAAACCCCCGAAACTTCAAATGCGCCAGTTCGAAAGCGTCCCACTCCTGGGACGTATAGGAACGGCGTTTGAGCATCCCTATAGTAAGAGTGTAGAGTTCCTTGCCGAGTCCTATGGTTGAAGTGAGCCGCTCAATCTGCTCAGTATACATCTCGTACGACGCCTGATCGGCGGCCTCTTGTCCATCTTTGAGCTCAGTCAAGAAGTCAGACATCAGCGTAAGATGTTCCTTGACCACCAGCTTCAAGTCGGATAGTCTTCCTTGGAGTAGTAGCTTGCGACAGGGTAGCAGTGATAGATCGCTTAGACACGAGTTAAAGACAGCGTAAAACTGAAATGTAGGGTTATCGAATATACTGAACATTTCGATGAGTGGATCGTTACGGTGAATTTCTGATGGAAGTGCGGGGTTGTGTTGGCGGTCTTGAGGCTCAGCTGCGGGGTTTCCGGCCGACGCCTTGCTTCTGGGATCTCAGGTTGGCAAGGGTCTGCAGATGATCGTCAGTGCCTTACTAAGGCTTCGGGGAAGGGCGATGGACTTCATCAAGGAAATGCTGGTTCCGCAATGCTGAAGAGACCACCAGAGCTCATCATACGCCAGGGCTAACGCTTCCCACTCCTGGGTGGTACAGAAACGGCGTTCGAGTATACCCGTAGTATGAGTATACAGTTCCTTGCCGATCCTATGGCTCGAATGAGCCGCTCAATCTCCACAGTACGCGACACCTGATCGGCGGTCTCTTGTTGTCGATCTTTGAGCTCAGTTAAGAAGTCGGATAGCAATGCAAGTATCTCCTCGACCTCCAGCTTAAAGTCAAAAAGTTGATGTTGTCCTTGGAGTAATTCCTTGTAACAGGGTACGTCTCCTATGACCCCTAGAGCTGCTGTGTAGAGGCCGAGAAACTCGTTCGAAGCCTTTACGGTTGGCATGGAGATGGCAATGAGGGAAGCGTAACGGCGAAGATGTAACGTGGAAGGGCGGGGTTGCGTCGGGGTTCGTGAGGCTCAGTTGCGGGGTAGAACTATTGCTTCGAGTCTTGCTTCTGGGGACGTCAGGTTGTCAAGCGCCCCATGGCTGGCCCAAAAGGTCCTGTCGTCCCCTCACCTGCTTTTGGCAGAGAGTTCTATCGGCGGGATAGGACATAACTTTTGCGATAAGCCGTTGGGTTCCAATCCCGTGAATAAAAGAAGACGGAAAGGCTTCCGTTTGGCGGTATGTGAAGGATGGTGTGTGAATAGGTGCTAGTTCCACAGATTACTCATAGAGGGGAGTCGCTGATGTCAGTTCAGTAAGTGAAACATTCTATAGACAGCACGCATCACATATCCCAATTCACACACCACCAAACGGAACCTCAACCACCATCAGCCTCTTTTCTTCCCTTCCTTATCCTCTTCGGGAATGGAGAACTCCGGCTCGCCCTCCCGCTCGACGGGCGGGCCGACGTAAATTGCCCCCCCCTGTCGCGCGTATATTGTCCACTTTGCACACATTCGCAGCGCATCCTTCGCCCTGGCCGCATAGTGCGCGCATATGGCTACTCGTACACCGATATGGCCACGAGTGCGGACTGGACCTGCGAAGGGGCGCGGCGAATATTGCAGATTACAGCTACCGCGTCTGCGGCCCCCATCCTATTGTAACCACAGCTACTCTAGCTCCCAGGCCCGCCGTACCGTGATCGCTGCGGGGAGGGCAGTGTGAGTGGTACTATTCACCGGCTGGAGGTCGGGCGGGATATATACGCTGACGTGCCCTTTCTCCCTTCCGAGCGCGCTGGAGCTGAGTCCGTCGTTTCTGCCCAGCCTTCCTTTTTCTCTAGCGAAAACACACATTCTTTACCCATAGCTAATCACAATGCGTCTCCCCATCGCCCTCGCCGCCCTCACCGGCCTCGTCGCCGCACACTCCGAATCCGGAACCCCAGGCGCACCGCGGCTTGTTGGATCTCGCGCCCTGGCCGACCTGCACGCGCGCGGCCTGCTCCGCCCCCCGGTCACACATGACTTCGAACCCGTGTACGGGCCTGAGCCCGGGCGTCGCGTGGAGAGGAGGCAGGAGAGGAGGTGTGGGCCTGGGATGGGGGCGTGTGCGGCTGGGCAGTGTTGCAGTGCGGAGGTGAGTTAGGTTACGCCCGAGGTGCGGAGGGAGGGCTGATGAGAGAAGGGATATTGCGGAACCAGCAAGGACGCATGCGCCGGCCCGGATTGTCAATTGGCCTACGGGCCCGCGTGTGATGGGAACGGGACGCCCCCCGGCGCGAAAACATATTCCGGGCCGCGGCCGGCGCTCGGAAGCGTGCCGGTCGGCGGGGAGGGGATATATGATTGCTCGGTGACCGGGACCGTGGCGCTGACGTTCGATGACGGGCCGTATGTGTACACGGAGCGGCTCCTCGATCTACTGGACAAATACAACGCGCGGGCCACGTTCTTTATCACCGGGAACAATCTCGGCAAAGGCGAGATCGACAACACATTCTACCCGTGGGCCGGGACGATACGCCGTATGCACGCTTCCGGACACCAAGTCGCGAGCCACACGTGGAGCCATCAGGACCTCAGTGTGGTGGGGAGGGAAGAGCGAAGGGCGCAAATGGAGAAGAATGAGATGGCGCTGCGGAATGTGCTCGGTTTTTATCCGACGTACATGCGCCCGCCGTATAGCAGCTGTACGGCGCAGAGTGGGTGCCAGGCGGACATGGCGGAGCTCGGGTATCATGTTAGTTATTTTGGGTTGGATACGGAGGATTACCTCAATACGACGCCGGACAAGGCCGCGGTGCCGAGGAATAACTTCGTTGGGAATATTTCAACAAAGAGTTCGAGGACGGGACAGTTTTTGGTCATTGCGCATGATATTCATGAGCAGACGGTTCTGGACCTGGCCGAGTATATGCTGAAGGTTATACAGTTTGCCGGGTATCGCGCTGTTACGATGGGCGAGTGCCTCGGTGATCCGGTCGAGAATTGGTATCGGAAGAGTGGCGGGAGTGTGTTTTCGCAGGCGCCGCGCGGGGCGGGATCGGCTCCGGCGGCGCCGTCGCAGCCGCTTCAGAATGTGACGGCGGGATTACCGGTTCCGGCGGCGCCGGGCAATCCGGGCACGCCGAAGAGTCAGCCTAAGCCACCGAAGCAGGCGGTTCCTCCGAAGCAGGCGGCTCCTCCGCCGGGGGCGGGCCCGAAGCCGCCGGTCAAGGTGTCGGATGATGGGGCGTGTGCGGGGCAGACGGGGAGTACGTGTATGGGGTCGACGTTTGGGAATTGTTGCAGTGTTAATGGGTGGTGGTGAGTGTACTTCTTCTCGTTGAGTTCGGTTCGGCCCGGCTTCCATCGGAGGTCGGGCCGGGTGTCTTCGAACATCGGCTGACGCGCGCAGCGGCGCAACTCCAGCATACTGCGGTACCGGTTGCCAGGCGGGCTTTGGGAACTGCGGAGAAAATGGAGTGGCAGTTGCACCGCCGCCGCGGCCGCCGCCTGGTACAGCCTTGCCGGTGAGCGAGGACTCGAGTTGCGGGGAGAGGGCGGGAACGACGTGCATGGGGAGTACGTTTGGGAATTGCTGTAGCGTGTACGGGTGGTGGTGAGTTATTCCTTTTTCGAGTGCCTTTTGTTGAGGAGCTAATGTGGGTCAGCGGTGCGACGGTTAATCATTGCACGAACGGGTGCCAGTTTGCGTATGGGCTTTGTGGCGCTCCGTAAGTACGGCGGTTGTGAGGGTTTCGTGGAGCGTCGTGATGTGGTCGCGTGAGGGGTTGCCGGGTTGGGATTGGGGGTGGCTTGTGGATCGCGGGTAATGGATTGTGTCGATTGTGAAGAGCAAAAATGGTAAGGAGAGCTCAATCTAATTGGCTACGGTCAGTGTAACATCTACACGTAAACACTCATATGGAGAAGCTTTCGATGAATATGTAGCATGTGATGGAGGGGTCGTTTTCGGCTTGGTGCTCGCCTCTTCGCTGTTGGTAGACTGGCCATTCCCCGGCTACTGTCATCTTCTCCGCCCATCCATCGCTTCAGCGGGCTATCTGTTGCATGCTCCATATACGGAGGTATCTCTGCTGCGCTCTCGAGTCTTCCAGTCCTCGTCTTCCTCCTGCATCTTCACCGCCAGCGTCGCGCCTTCTAGCGG